TTATTGATGCAATACCACCACTGATGAATAACACGTGTGTGTGTGTTTGCTCGTCGATCACTTCCGAGTGGTTGTTTCGTGATCGAAGTAATGCTTTGTGGTTTATATTGGCTATAACTGCTGCAACCGAACCGGCTGTAACTAGATCTTGTCTTTTCATCACAAGCAGATAGTTCAAATAGTTTATATTCATTGGCCAACAATATGTTGAAATTTTCATTGATTGACTAACAAAACTTTCAATAACAATAAAAGGATTTATCAATAACAAAACCTGTGATAATTTCTAATTTGTGGACGATAACAATGTTCAGTTACGCATAATTTGATTTCAGAAAGGATTTAATACAAAAATTAATTAGTTCGTTATACAATGTTAATGGGTAACGTCCAATTAGTGCAGATGTACCGAACCAGCTTATTTCTGTTATTACGAATGTAATTAAACACACAGATTGGGCTGTTACCTCTCCACTGCCCTCCATCACCATCAAATATAATTGATTACTTGACAACACAAATATGTTGCAGGATTATCATTAATATAGCAACGGCAATTACTATCGGATATTGAGTGCACAGTTCATAGAAACGATGATAATAAATTTGGAATTGATGACCACTACCAGATTTGCCGATAAAACGTGAGCATCGTGTGGCGGCATATAAAGGCATCTTGTTCCCCCACGTAGAATCTAGTAAACTTGTTCGTATGAGTCAGGTGCTTGATGGTCAAATAAGCTTCGAATCTAAAGTAATCTATGTCCTAAGTTGATCTCATTTCGAATATGAACCATTTTCAGAAGATGTTCTTATCCCAAACGTGCATCAGTCAATCGCACTTACATTTTAACAACAGTCTCCCAACTTATACGCTTTAATTTGTTAGTATTGCACTGAGAATCACTCAAAATTTACAGTAACATTCAAATATGGAAGATGATGAATGTGGTGTTAACAACGAATAATGACAAATAAGTTTTATTGAAAACTGATCCGTAACAACTCACATTTAAATCAGAGCACAATATCGATAAAACAACGACAATGGAAAAATAAATTCATCGCTTGATTTGAAAAAAAAATTGATCTTCTAAAACGATTAATTGGATCTATTAAATTGTCACAAATTCAACAATTCCGTAAATTTAACTGGGAATGATTGAACATATTGTACCACCAACTAAATGACACATCAAATGTAAATTTTACCACTTCTAAAAACACAACTCAGCATAGATCCCCTTAATAAATGGGTGACTTTTGAAAACAGATTCCTTAAAACAGCTTCAGTAGAGCACTTAATAACTGTTATCAACACCACGTCATATACTAGTTGGGACCAACTACTGATGCTTAAAAACAAGACTTAACCGAATATTACAAATTAATATTCATGAACGAAGCCAACTTGCTCACCATTACTCAACTAAATAATATCAGTGAATGAACCTCAGTTACACGACACGAAATGTTGCTGCTTTATGATACTATCAACAAATCTGTTATAATATTGCAGCACGGAATCAACACCAAATTGACGACTGATAAACGAAAAGATATTGAAACAGCAGTTGTTATGATGATGAACTAATGTGATATATCCATACTTTCGATTATGTCATATTTGATCTCTTTTTGCTTCAGCACTTTCGTTGAACCTTGTTTGAACTTATAATCCAAGTCAATTGGCTCTGGTCGAACACAAAAATCTGGTACTACCGGTCCCTGAAAACGAAACGATCAACGCCTCAAGACCGTTAAAAATTGTCGCTGGAATGCATTTAAATAGCGATTGCATTGTTTGTAATGTGAACAATAAATAATCGAATATTACATGAACAATGAGCATAATAAGGATTGAACCATAAACGAACCTTGAATACAGTCGTATCTCGATTGATAATCACAAAGTTCAGCGAATTACCGGATGCATTATCTCCGTGCATACCTGCTTGTAAGGCTCGTTGCACCAATTCACAAGCTTCTTCTTCCTTTATATAAACATTATTACTTTTAAAGAAAGCATCCATAAAAATGATTGACTGCAACAACGAAAAATAAGTGGTCAGATGATATGATAAGCCACTCACGGTCATTCCAAATTTGAAGTCTCGTTCCAAAACCGATATTGCTGCATAACTTCCTGAGCCCATCGATGCGTACGGTTTGCTCATTGTTGTGCCATTCGCTGAACACTGTAATTCAATTCATTTATTACACCACGGAGGATAATACAACTATGCGAGTGTTTTCTCCGACGACATGAACAATCGTCCTTTTGAGCACCCAAATAGCACATCAATGGAATGTCAGAAGTAAGCTGAGCTTTAATGAATAAAAGTGAAAACGACCTCGTATAAATGTGGACCAGAGTTATCGACGCCACCGATGAGTAAATAAGCACCAATGTATCCCATATACTGGAATAAATGCTGCTTTGCCTTACGCATTGCCGTTACAACACGTGCCTTCTTACCGGTATTCAACTCGACTAAACGTAACTGTGCAGACAACATTTTTGTCACCTGCAATCATTTTCCGTTATCACCGCGCCGAACTTGCTATTTCTCATTTGAGAAATGCAAAAATTTTACAATCTAACTGGAAACACTGCGAACTCAACTGATTTCAGCTTAGTGAGTGTTTGGTTGGTGAAAAAAGTCGCCACTAAATCAGAGCAGTCAACAAATGCAGTACTAGCTGCTACAAATTTCAGTTCACAGTTGAAAAGCAAGCAACAATAACGAAGCGATACTGTACCTGGTCGAGGTCAGCGGCCGTTCCAGCACCACAAGCAAACATTGACTCGGTTATTTTATGCACTTTCATACAATGCTTATCCGCTATTATATTGCCTGCTGTTGCTCTTGAATCTGCACCCATTACCAATCCATCCTTTAGAATATATACACTGATAAGAATAACTGATTTCGCTTGAACTAACCAAATATGTTAATCAAAGCCATATGCACAATCATTGCATGTTCTACGAATATGTCTTATGTCTGTTTCTGCCGTCTGAGGACGTCATAAAATAGACAATAAATTCAATAATCGAATAATTGCAACCTTATTTCATTGAAGCACAATGCTGGATTACCTCTGACATCTACAAGCACAATCAAACCCCATTCAAGAAGTAGTTGTTATGAGTGAAATGTAACCTTGTATGAAGCAGCAACAATCGTCGTACCAGTACTACGCAACGTCGGCATTTTAACACCCATTTCTGATAACGCCATATTACGTGCACAATTCGAGAAATCAAACGCACCTCCCCGGCCAACATCTAACTTTTCCATTTTTAAATTATCCATTGCTTAAATTTTTTGGATTAGTTTATTGAAAGTCCAATCTTAATTC